GGTTAGGACATGAGCTTGAAGTTCAAGATAGCTGGGTCTAACTCTCCGTTGTACCATAGGCTTTGTGCGTAGCCTTGGAAAAGTGGTAGTCTCTCTATGACTCAATTCCCCATTGCATAATAGGGATACTTTGCCAGGGTGAAAATAAATGCATTAAAGATTGTGAGCTGCACAGTTGCTATACATAAGTGCCTTAGACATATAACCATCTATACCATTATCTCTATTTGGAGTATCAAACACGTACGTCTTCTGAGTTCTGGTAAAGAAAGTGAGAAGGACAAATAGCTGTGTAGGAATAATTGTGATCTGCTGACCGGAACTATACACTGAAAGTGCTGAAAACCACCTCACTGGCTGCTTAGCTGTTGGAGGGAATTTCAAGAGACCGCGCTCACTTAAATTGTGCGTGGCTCTCATAGCCTTCATTAAACCATTCTCTGAGTCTTCTGGCTGCACCTCTATGCCACACTGAAAATTTCAGAGTATGAAATTATTTTCTCTTCTGGTTTCTCAAAGGGTGTCCATTCTTTCTCTAAAGTACTCCCAAGTAGTGGGTCCTCCCACTGTAAAAGGGAACCCAGAAAGAAAAACACAGTGCAAGAAATGAACAATATATAAGAGAGAATGAGTAGGAGCTACACCTGTAGGAGATAATGTGTCAACAAGAAGAAATGGAGCAATACAAGAGGAACAAGCTCAGAACAGGGAAAAGAGAATTGGTAGCAGGGACAATCCCTTTTACCATGATGGTTATATATTTAATGCACATGCCCTACAAAAGGGGAGTTTCAGGTATCAATGTGTGACTTGACTATTAGACTCATCATTGTCTCCTGTTATGCATTATTCTCATTCCTCTCTCCCCTTCACAGAACTCAGCATGCAATAGATACTTCTTATGGAAGTAATAGCAACTAAAGGAAAAGCAAGCACCATTAACAAAAATCAGGAGAATGGCAAGCTAACTCACACGATAGCTGCGTCTAGACTGGCAAGATTTTCCGCAAAAGCAACTGCTTTTGCAGAAAAACTTGCCAGCTGTCTACACTGGCCGCTTGATTTTGCGCAAAAGCACTGACGTTCTACTGTCCGAAATCAGTGCTTCTTGTGCAAATGCTTTGATGTTCCCGTTCGGGCAAAAGCCCTTTTCCGGAAATGTTTTTATGCAAGAGGGCCAGTGTAGACAGCTAAAAACTGTTTTGCACAAAAAAGCCCCGATGGTGAAAATGGCGATTGGGGCTTTCTTGCGCAAAACCACATCTAGATTGGCACGGACGCTTTTCCGCAAAAAGTGCTTTTGCGGAAAAGCATCTGTGCCAATCTAGACGCTCTTTTCCGCAAATGCTTTTAACAGAAAAACTTTTCCGTTAAAAGCATTAGCGGAAAATCATGCCAGTCTAGACACAGCTCATAAGTATAATATTGCACAATCAGATTGTACCCTATCTGACCAAAGGCCAGTGACACCATTGCTGTAGGCCCATTTTATAAATAAAATAGTAAGGACCAGATTCACTGAATTCCTGGAGTTTGGGTATTTCTTTATTTTACATGTTCGTTCTTACTAACACCTTAGAAGAAGAAAATGTAGTTTTTATCTTGAGCTGAATGTCTGCTTGAGAGCTAAGACACAGGGCCTAATTCAAAGACTCCCCTTTGACTACAATATGCTTTGGGCCAAGCCCATAATGATTAGTTGATTAGTGATTTTTTTTTAACTGTGAAAAGTGCTCAAGTGGAAAGGGCATCAGAAATGGCCCATATATATATTTATTGTCACACAGGGTCGATGTAGCAGTGGAGCTGTGATGGCATTTAGAAATTACGCAAAGCTTTTCACCTAAATCCATTGTCATTTGGCATCCATTCCTTAGGCCCTCAGTCTAATCAGCTGTCTGTGTCAGTATTTGGTGCATCTGGCATCCCTAAATGCAGCTATGAGGGTGAATCATTTCTTGAGATAATTATAAAAGCGTCTGTGACTACATGAGGTAAGTTTTAGGCTATTTGATCTAAAAGGAAAAGTGAATTTCTCCCTTACTTTTGTTGTACTATAGGCGTAGGGAACCTCAGGGATGGGAAACCTCAGGCCTTCAGGCCAGACTGGGCTCCTCTTAACTATATCCAGCATGTGGTGAGGAGCCTTTGTTCCCTCTGTTGGGCCAAAGTGCCAGCTTGTGGAGATCAGGAAAACTCTGTAAGCTGAAGGGGGAAGAATTGAGAAGCCTAGAAATGACTGCTGTACTGAGGGATGACAGATACTTCAGCTGGAATTGCTGCAGCAATGGGGCAGTGGGCAGCAGCCCACCAACAGCAGCTCTTTGGACCTGACCATCATATGAAAGGAGGACTTTAAAGGTGTGTCTAGACTACAGGGTTTTTTTTGAAAAAAGTGTCCTTTTTTCTAAAATACTTCACCTGTGTCTAGACTGCTGTTGCGTTCTTTCAAAATTAAATCGAAAGAACGCAGCAGTTTTTATGAGGAATAATGCCTTTTTTCGAAAGTGTTCTTTCGAAAAAAGGCACTATTAAACACAAACAGGGCTTTTTCAAAAGAGAGCATCCAGACTGCCTGGGTGTTCTCTTTCGAAAAAGCAGCTCTCTTTTTCAAAAAAAGAGGCTGCTGTCTAAATGCTGTTTTTCGAAAAAAAACGCTCTTTCGAAAGAGGCTTGTAGTCTAGATGTACCCTAAGTGATGAGAGAGAAGCTTCAGTCATGGTCTTCCCTCACCAGTGTCTGCACTCCTATAATTGATATGGAAACTGATCTTTTATAATTGGCCCTAATCACCATAATGACCCTCATGCCATTCCCTCAGCCAACTGAGAGAAAAGGAGGGCACTTATATTACCACACCCTCTCCACCATCTGGTATCAAATTCAGCAGAGTGTTCCTCCCACTCAGATTACACTGCACCAGTTATTGCCATCAACAGGCAGTTTGGCAAAGGAAGGGGAAGAAGGATGGAAACTGCTCGTGTATCTCCACGCTTGAGTAACATACAGGGTTAGGGAATTTGTACAGAGGAAATGAAGAGAGGCTAATTCCTGGGAAGTGGAGAACTACACAGACCAGGCCCTGGTCTACACTAGGACCTTATTTCAAAATACCCTCCCCAAAGTTGAATTTATAAGCAGTGCATCCACACTGCCAAGACGGTTATTTCAAAACAATGGGCCAAAGAATTCAAACTCTGTGCTCCTGCTTTTCATCAGGAATAATGCTAATTCTGAAATAATAATTTTGTAGTAACAGTAGTGTGGACACTCCACTGCCACTAATTCAAAATAATTGGCTTTCCAGAGGCCTCCTGCAGCTCCCCAGAGTGCTTCAAGTCAGAGGTAGCACGGCCACGCTAATGGAGCTTGCCTTGGACTAATTTCAATTCTTCCCTGTAGCAAGGACACGCTGGTTGAGATGTATTAAACTGGGAGTTCTTAAGTTGAATTTAGTAATTCTGAAAGTTTCCTAGTGTAGGCATGGCCTGGGTTGCTGTGTGGAATCAGGAGAGGAGATAGTAGGATGGTGAGAGAGCACAGTGCATGGGAGGATGTTTTTGGATGGTGAGTCCTCTGTGAGAAGGAACAGAATCTTGACTGAAGGATTGCTATTGCTTGAAAAGGACTCTTGTGGAGGAAATACTTTGTACATAATATAGAACATAATTTGGAACAGGGTATGGGTGTCACACACAAATATCATGTGAACTCATGATCATCTGCAACCACCCATCCCCCAACTTCCCCACCAACAGTCTGGATCTCTTGACTGCTATTCCTTTATACCATCAGAGCACCCTATGGGCAAAGAATGTGTTTGTCTTTTGTTCCATAAGGCATCTACTACTCTGTGGGAACTGTGACTAGACATTAAATTCTTGTCATCACAATATCTCTATTTCATCCATAATGGCCTCTCTGAGGAGCATCACAGTTTCTGTGACATAGGCATCTGTTACTGGGGAACTGAACTGAGGCGCTCAACTCCTGTCACCAAGACATAATGGATTTGTACTATACATTCAATATTCAAGGAACTGCAGTTGCTATTTTAAAAAATACGTTTTCCCAGTGCATTTGCCTGGACCTGTTTACAGGTAGTGGCAATAACTATTAACATGTAAATTATGACTATTTATAGAAAATAAATAATATAATTGTTACTAGGGGGCTGTGCCCCCTGCTCACTATGCTCACCACACCCTCCTCTTTCTAGGGGTAGGCAACCCCAGATCTCTACCTGGCCACAGAGGAGGGCAGAGCCATGCCCTGGCTCTTTTTCTCCTCCCTCCACCCACGGGCCCCCCACTCCCGAGGCGACAGCAGACCTAACTCTCTCCCACCCCCTGTGGCATCCTAGGCCTGGTTTTGTTCCCGGAGGCCAAGGAGAGCCAAGGCCATGGCACGCCAACCCCGGCTCTCCATGTGGCTACCAGAGAGGGCTGGGCTGGTAGTGGGTGGGACTTGGCTCCAGGGGTGGAGCCTTGGACAAAAGGGGCGGGGCTTGGCTTTATCCGCCCAGCCTGTGGATGCTGTGATGTTATGATGTCATTCTGTCATCCTGCAGGAAATTTTTATATATATATATAGAGAGAGAGAGAGAGAGAAATTAATAAACTATTAGTATTGTATTATTGTAACATAATTCTATTGTTTCTATATTGTTTCTTTTCTATGATTAATCATAATTTACATTTTAATAGGTATCACCACTACGTGTTAACAGGTCCAGTCAAGAGCACTGGGGAAAAAAGTATTTTAAAAATAGCACCTGCAGCTTCCTTTCTTACTATTTAAATGGATTGCTTTATCTCAAGTATATGAATCAATGAACAGAAACTTTAGCAAGTCATGATTTATGAGCCTCGCATTGGAAATGGGGCTAGTGATCCATCTCTTTCATGTCTCTAACATATGTAATCCACCCGAGACATCATTATTCAAAAAGCAATTCAAATTAAATAGAAAAAAAAGAAAAAAGAGAATGACATGCTTACTGTAGCTAATTCATCAAACTTCCCAAAGAGTTCATTCAGAAGCTTCACCAGCTCTTGAGCAGTGCACTGTGATGCCAAACTAGTGAACCCCACAATGTCTGCAAACAAAATGCTGTAAAGAGAAGGAAGGAAACATTAGTCCAGAACACACCTTCTTATTCTAATTATCATCTTCTATGCACTGAGTGCTACCCAGAGCACAAACCCAGACAAATGATTCCCACCAATAAAGGGTGATGCAGAGCACAAATATAAAAGATCCAGGATCGTCTTGCATTTAAAGCACAGAACTGGCAGTCAAGGGCATCTGTGTTCTTTTCCTGGCTCTGCCATAGGCTTCTTTGGACCTCAAGCCAGTTTTGTATTAGGTACTTATGGCACACCCCATGATTGTAGGAGTCTTAGGGCCTCCATATCCCTGTGAGATAGAACAGTACTACAGGCAGTCCCCGGGTTACATACAAGATAGGGACTGTAGGTTTGTTCTTAAGTTGAATTTGTATGTAAGTCGGAACTGGTACATATTGTAGGGGAAACTCTAGCCAAACATTTCTCCAGAGCTCAGTTTTATTCTCCCACACCTCACTTCCCTCAGCCCTTTATTCTCAAGCTGAAGTGTCTGCTGAGAAAAGCCGCTCCGTGTCTCCCTGGTCTAATAGAGTAAAAACATTGTAAACAAGATCATAAGCAAGCCCTTTGTCTCTCTGAGCCTCAGTTTCCTTCTCTGTGGAATGGGAATAAATCTACTTACCTATCTAGCCAAGGAGCTGTGAGGAATAATTCCCCGATATAAAGGGTTAGGAGATTCTTTGGTAAAAAGTGCTGCAAAAATCCATAAACATTATAATTTTCATCCATACAAAGCATCCACACAGATAATACTACAGGCAGTCCCCGGGTTACGTACAAGATAGGGACTATAGGGTTGTTCTTAAGTTGTATTTGTATGTAAGTCGGAACTGGTACATATTGTAGGGGAAACTCTAGCCAAACATTTCTCCAGAGCTCAGTTTTATTCTCCCACACCTCACTTCCCTCAGTCCTTTATTCTCAAGCTGAGGTGTCTGCTGAGAAAAGCCGCTCCGCATCTCCCTGGTCTGCTGGGGGGCGTGCTAGCTTCGCGTCTCCCTGGTTTGCTGGGGGGAAGCAGCTAGTGCAGGGTTGCCTCACCCTGTTTGTAAGAAGGGATCCGATGTAAGTCGGATCCATGTAACCCGGGGACTGCCTGTATTATCTTCATTATACAGATAGAAACTGAGCCACAAAGAAGCTGAAGTGTCTTCCTCCACGTTAGAAAGTAAAACTGTGGCACAACAAGGCTCCTAAGTCCTAGGATAGCATACTTACCACTGGACCAGCCTTCCACATGTGAAATGGTGATAATTCACAGAAAGTACTGTGAGGCTCAAATGATTAATGCTCACAAAAGACTGTGAAGAATTAGAGTTGTGGTCCAGGACTCAAGAGATCTGGGTTCAATTCTTACTTTGCCACAGACTATAAAGCCCTGGGCAAGTCACTTTAGCTGGATTTTTCAAAGCAAACTAAAGGAGTTAAACACCCAAATCTCACTGACTAATTAGTGAAACTTGTATGCCCACCTGCCCTCTCTGCTGTAATTACACTTCCCTGCTTCACAGAGAAGTTTAGAAGATAAATCTAAACATACTTGGTGATGAAAGGCGCCATGTAAGTACATAGATAGATCCTTGAATAGCAGAGGCTATAGAACAGGGCTACTCACCTTTGGAAGCTCCAGGGACCACAATGATACTCATAGAACATGCTAAGGGTTGCAACTTAACTGTGGTTGCATATACAGGCAAATATATGCAAATAGTTTATTTCACACCAATGGGCATGAATACAAAGATTAAGGCAAGACAACACAACATGCAGGTCCCAATTAAGTCAGTTCTGCTGATATTAATAAAATCCAATATTCACCCGATTTCCACCCATATGATAGCACTTTTAATGAGTAATGACAGTCCAGGAATTTAACTACTAAAACACCTATCACCAGAAGACCATTATATTGACAATTTTTTCATTTTGGCTCCCACCTGTGGATCGCACATTGAGCCCTGCATAAACCTAAACTGTACAGTGGGCCGCAAACACACACATGTTGACTAGCCCTGCTATAAAAGTTTTAATTATATAGATGAACTCACCTGTGGAAATCCTATGGATCTACTCACATGCAGTACCCAGCCTAAATAACAACAAATTGATTTATTATATTCAGGTTTATAAAAATGCCACCTAACCATTTTCTAGATGTGGTGGCATAATTTAAAATACCTCTTTGAGGACAACAATTTAAGATAACCCAACATAAATCTCCCTCCTCTAAAGCCTGGCCTACACTAGGAGTTTAGGTCGATTTTAGCTGTATGATGCCATTTTTCTAAAGAATGAGTAAACACTACTATACACACTCTGTCAAATTGAAGGACTGCTGAAGTCAATTTTGGATAGTCTTGATTTTATGAGGGGTAATGCCAATTTCGACCTTGCATGGTCAAATTCACGGTAGTGTAAACCCAGTGTCGAGAAAGTTGAGGTTCTTGGCCTCTTGGAGGTATCCTCTGCAATGACAGCTTTGCTAGAACTTCTGCCTTTACTCCTCTCCAGGAGAACAGCAAAAGCCCCGGGAAAGTTTGAATTTTATTTCCCATGTGGCCGGCATTGTAAGCACACCTCAGAGCAGGCAGCATACCTGAGTAGCACACATGGCCATGACTTCAAGTCCCATTAGCTCCAGTTCCCCTGGGTGCAAAGGAGCAGCAGTATGGAGTGTACAGGAGATCATAGACTTCAATGAGGCATAAGGAAAGGAATCCATTCTCCTGGAACTCCGAAACAGCAAAAGAAATGCAAATATATATGTAAAGATAGCAAAGTGAATGGTGGATAAAGGATACTCTGGGGGGACCCCCCCTCCCAATGTCATGTTAAAATAAAGGAGCAGAGGCAAGCCTATCACAGAACAATGGAGGCAAACTGATGGTCTGGTACATTGCTGCAAACATGCTGCTTCTATGACCAGCTACATGTGATCCTAAGTGGGGATCAGACCAGCTTCCTAAGCCAGACTGTGGAGTCTGCCCAAGACAATTAGAGCAGCAATGTGGAGGAGGGGGAAGAGGAGGGGGAAGGAGGAGGGGGAAGAGGAGAATGGCGAGTAGCAATAGCCAAGTAGTTTTCATCACTTTAGAGACAATCTGCTCCTCCAAGGATGTCTCACAGCCTAGCACTGATCCTGGAGAGGGCACTTCTAGTCAGTTCCCAATTTTTTTTCTTGCCACAAGTGGGTTAAGGCAATGGGGTGTGATGTGTGGCATACTTTGTGCCTACACAGAGTACGGGGCCCAGAACACCTTTTTCACACATCTAGAGATGGAGCGGGAATTGTCTCTCCATATCTCCATGCAGCTCTGTAGCCAGACAGGGACCCCTCTTGTAACATCCATTTTTGCTTGCCTGGAGCATATAGGGCACACAGAGGAGAAGGCCCAGGCTGTGTGACCGTGAATGGCTGTAAACAGAGATATGCCAATTGCTGACCAAGAGGCTGCCAAGAAGTGTCCTTGACTTAACCTATATTGATACAAACACACATCCGTCCGCGGGGGGAGGAATCTCTCGCCCAGTAAAAAAAATGTCTAGTACTCACAATTTAGTTATCTCTCTTGCAAGTGTAAATTAACTTGAAACTTGTTTGTAAGAACTGGGGCCACAAAACGGACCAGTAGAATTTGGCCTCTTAGATAAGAAAGAGGATACGGGCCCCCCGGTGTATAAAGATGGGTCCAGCAGCACATTTTCTCTGAGTGTCAATCTACCATATATCTGCTGGTCGGGTTAGGTGTTTGATCTCCCGAGGTTCCAAGGGGACACCCACCTCGTATTCGTCTTTCCTAGGAATTGAGAGACCGGCTCTGGCCTGACACGCTGGAGTCGAGAGGCACAGAAAGGGGTAAAAATTGTACCTGGATGTGGTCCTTTGTCTTAAGTATATATGTACATAGTGTTAGAGCTCTTTAAAGATTAAGCTGTCACTTGGTACCATTATTTCTATTTTCTATCTTTACCTTTTTCCTGTAATCATTTTTAAGACCTATATATATATATATATTTGCTAGCATTTAAGAAATAGAGCAATAGCCATTGTAACCATATGATTTATAAGCTTCTTTAAACCTGTAACTGTTTAAGTTTTAACCTGACTCCTTCAGTTGCTGTAATAGAACCAAGCACAATTTAAAAGAACTTCAGCCGGTCATAAAGGGACAGGCATAGGAAGAGCTTGGGCGTTTGGATCTGTGTCACTCCCAGGTGTCAGATCCATTGGGGCACTTTTCAGCCTTCCCTAGGCTGCCCACTGCGAAGGAACCTCTGTGTTCTAGCAGCTAAAATCTAAGGTATAATAAGCTCTTCCTATATAACGGGGCGTCTGTTGGCCTGCTGGCCACCCTCTGCGACGGGACCCCGGTCCTAGCAGTAAAGACACGGACGTTAAACCTTTTCTCAGAAACATACACACACACACTGCCCTGACCGTCGGCTGACAAGTTCTCAGATAGGAACTCTTTGATCCTTTTCACAAGATTTCTGGGAGGTCCGCCTTATTCTGTCCTCCACAGTAGGAGGCCATCCCACGCCAAGACAGCAGTAAGTGGTCTGGCATCATTATACTGCAGTGATTTGTAATACAAGGCCCAGGTTGCTGGCCTCACTCAGCCAGTATCCACCCCCTATCACTCAATGTGACTTGGAGAAGACTGATATCTTGCATGGCAACCTAGATGAAAGAGGAGGGAAAGCTATTAGCTGCTGCCTCTGCTTCTAGCATGGCTTCAGTCTCTGGCACTCCCTACCTTCTTGCTGCCCTCCTGCCCACAGACTTCTGCGGGATGGGAAAGTAGCACTTTCCTCAGAAGATGGGTGCAGTGAACATAGAGGAGGGAATCTGTGTGAGCCATCGCCTTGCCCTCAATGTCCCCCATCCCACCCACAAGATTGTAACCTGGCAGGCCCTTTCTAAGCCTGCCTCCAAACTGCATTAGTCCAGATGTTCCCTTGAGAACTCTGCTGTGTATCTGC